TATCAGATGGCAATGCCGTACAATTGCTCTGAGCCAATCAGGTCTGTAAAAGATAACTCAAGCTGTTCAGGCATGAGGCATTCGGCAGTGTGACATGCAAGCTGGTAGTCACCTGCAGCATGCATGTTATAAAGCTAGGAGCAGCAACTCCGGAAGTTTTCCTCTCCTTAGCAGCACTTGCTCCAGAAGCCCTTCCGGGCGGCTGGGTGACCAGTCCACAAGCCCTCATTCAGGCCTGAGTTCTGCTGAAGTGCTGCAACAATTTTGCAAAAGTGCCACTGTGACACTGTAAATTTATGAATTGAGCTCAAGGGCTTAACACAAGGGCAGCTGGTAGTCTCTGGCTTCTTCGAAGCTGAGGCATGCAAACCCTGCGCGGCCTCACAGCTCATGCTCGAAAGTCACGCTTCGCGCGATCAATCCTTGTACTTTCGCTTGTACTCAATGACCTGGGCTCAAGAGAAGAGACACTTGAGATCAGCGGTACTGTTACTCTGGCAAGCAAAAACGATATCTCTTCCTTCGAAGCAAGGCATCAAGGCATGGAAAAGCGGGCATGCAGGCACAGGCACTGCTTTCTGCTTTTGTTTCTGATGCCGTTTCGTGCACAGGCTGTCGATCACAACCATCCTCAGGTTTAGAATGGAAGTACTCTTTGCACAAGTACTCAGCTGCTGCGCTCTGCTGCGCTCTGCTGCGCTCTGGACGAGTCTACACATTTAGGCGTCCCTGAACCCAAGCCACAGCAAGTTCCAGACCTTTGCTTCCCTTGCTGGACAGCAACAGCAAGACTGGATGCCAGCCAAATGCCGTATGACACATGGAGCAGCTTGGCAAAGTTGCAAGTATTCAGTGCCATGCACAACCAAGTCTTCCATAATGTGCTAGTCGCATGTGATAGCACATCGTGCAATGCCAAAGCATGTCCTATTGCGCTAGCACGGCTGTGTGAAGTGTCACAGACCTGCTCCGTGACGAATTTCGCCCCCAGATTTGCACAATCTGTTTATCGGCATGCTCTGGAACACGACCCAGCAGAATGAGGTTGCAAAATCTGGGAGACTGATGAACAACTCGACTACTGGCGCATGTGCCTCATTCCTTCTTCTCGAAGCTTACAAACATCTTCGGGCGCTTCCCCGCAAGCAAGGACTGTTGGTCAAACTGATCCATGTGGACATCACCATGTTGCACGTCATGGGAGCCAGACAACGACTGGCTCGAGATCTCTGGAAGGAAATGATCCGACTGGTGTGAGGCTGCGTCAGGGAAGAAGGCCGTGAAGCTGGAAGCCAGTCCACACGCATGTGCAC